CCTTTGGGGTAACCGAGTGAGTCAATACTTAAAAAATTGCGTAGTTAGATATATTTTGAGTAAATAGGTATTCTAATATTTTTGTCGAGCACAAAATTTATTGCAAATAAAGTATTGACATAATTTGCTGAAAAGGTTAAAAAAAAAATTTCTAAACTGATAGTTTTAATCCTAAAATTTACCTATCTTAATTCTAGATTTTAGTAGTCATTTATCATTCCAATTCTGAACCTACAAAAGAAAGAAATAAGGTAAGTTTTCACTTTATTTATTTGTTTATTCATAATAATCTACTTATTCTTGCTATTACTATTTGATGTTCCAATTCTAGTCCTACAAAAAGAAGAATTTAAGAGATGAATCTTCTTAATTCTAATTATCACTTATCATTTTAACTTTGGATCCACAAAAGAAAGAAATAAGATGAGTCTTCATTTTATTTATTTATTTTTATAACTTACTTACCTCTTCTTTCGATCATAATTAGTTATTCTGATTCTGAACCTATAAAAAAAGAATTTGAAAAGTGAGTTCTTGTTTTTTTTTTCTAAATTATTTATTTATTTATCTATTTTTTTTGATTCTAGTAGTTGCTTACTGCTCTAATTCTGAATCTACAGAAAAAATAAATGAGGTGAGTCTTGATTTTAATTAATTAATTATTTATTTATCTTCTATAATTTACTTACCTTTTTTTGCCATTATCTTTTGTTATTTTAATTTCAGATACTTTTAGACTAAATAGTTACTCTTCATATTTATATGAGTTAATTGATTATATAAATAATTATATGATTGCAGTTAACAGAGAAGCCAAACTCTTTCCATCGATCACTCTGACCAAATTTAGAGCAGAAAGAAAAAACAAGAAACTCAAAATTTCTACTAAGGACGAATACAAAAGCTACTAAATAAAAGAGAAGAGCAGAGAAAGATACAGATATCTGTGCAAAAAATAAAGAAAAAAAATCAAAGAAATCTAAGAGTATAGAAGAAGTTTTGACTCAAAAACAAATAACGAAAAAATTTTTTAGAAAATTTAGAAAATCAAACAAACTCTGAATTGTAGATCATTTAACATAGTACAAACACGTGCAATTAAGGTAAACAAAAATATGTCATAGAAAAAACATATATTATGTACTTTATAGTAAAGATATTACACGCAAGACCAAAACTAGATAGTTTACTGGCAACTAGGAAAACACACAAGGAATTTTTCAAAAAAGTCAAGATTACTTTAGATAATAGAAAATATAGAGAATAAAGTATGTATAACAGAGAAAAAGCAAAAAGATTAGCAGGAATAGTAACCAAAGAGTATAGCAAAGAAATAATTACTAAAGGAAACAAAGCAGTAATAGGTTTAGATGATCATATAGATAAAATGATCACAGAAATACTAGAAGTAGAGAGTGACATAGTAATACTAGCAAGGGAATGGAGAAAGGTCATAGAGAGAGTAGCAATGACAGAAGGAATAGATAAAGTCAAAATAGTTTTAGGGCAAGGAGCTTAAGATATGACTGCAAAAAGCAATGAATTAGCTATTCAAGAAAATGAGAGTAAATCAGATATAGAAATAGTAGAACAAATAGATTCAGCAAAAACAGATAATAGCATAGAAGAGCAAGTAGTAGTAGCAAATCATTCTTTAATAAGTGAAAAAAGTAAGGAAATATATAGTCTAATAGAAGATATTAAAGAAATACATAACAAAGACACAGTTAGAATATGTCAAAATCAGTACTCAGATACTACAGAGGAATCAGAAGAGGATCTGATGCCTATAGAATCAGACTCTTCATTAGAAAAAAACATCTGGGTACCAAATAAAGATAGATATGAAGAAGAAGAAAATATAAGAGCAAAAGTAGCAGCTATTAATGTGCTAAGAAACAACGCAGAACATAGAGAAAAATTATTGAGATAGTCAATCAGAAGAAATGTGTACTTAAAAAAAGTATTAGAAAAGTTCGAACGAGGTAACTTATGATGTACATTAATATTTAATTGCAAAAAAGGCTATGAAGAGGCTAAAGAAAGCTAGAGAACAAAAAGGAAATATATGAACAAGCTAGACTAATTTTTGAAGAAAATACTGAAGAGGAAAAAGAGGTACCAGTATTAAAGAATCAGTGTATTGAGACTCCTGAGGAAGAAACATGAAAAAGAAGAAAAGAATTAGCAAAATTAGAGTTAGAAGAAGTCCTTACAAGAAGGAAGAAAAAGAATACAAATATCATAAAACAACAAGAAGTCATATCTGAAAAGAATACTAGAAGACAACACGACCCCAAGTACACAAATGAAAGTGAAGATAAAAATAAAATAATAGTTTGGAACCTACTAAGCTAGGCAAAGAAAACACAAGTTTTTGAGATGGTATGCTTTTTAGGAAGAGTTGAATATATAAAGATGATTAAAAGTGCACATGACAAAACCAGAGCAGAAATTGAGTTTAAAGCAGGTATCTGCAATGAAAAGATAAAGAAAGAGATTTGGTGTTTACTATTTGCGAATCAAATATTGGTAAGAATTACAGCAGGTACTAATAATCAAGAATTACTTTGTACAAGAAATAGGTTTAGTAAAAGGCTATTAGACTTACCAGAAAATACGAATGAAGTTTTACTATAGAGGCAAATTAAGAAGTCCAGAGCAAAGATACTATATATCTTTCAAAATTCTAATTATAACAACATGAGAAGTGCGACAGTGTACTTTGAGAGCCAAGAAGATATCATAAATATCTCTAAATTCTCAATATATTACTACAACAACAAGCTAAGATAAGTAAACACAAGAGAACAAGAACTCGAGTCACTTAGGAAAGAATATTGTTATTTGTATAATAAAAAAAGTGTTTTCATAGGTTAGTTTTCTTTTCGGAAAAAAGTAGTCAGAGGATCGACGGGAAGAGTTCGATCATCAGTTTAGAAATTTTAAAATAATTAAGTGAACAATTTAATGGTTTTTAATCATTTATTAAAACCTTTACTCGTTTAACTGCATAAAATAAATAAATAATTAATTGCGATTAAACGAATAATAGTTCCAATTCCTAGTTATACACTCATTATGTAACTGTAAAACCTTAGAAGTCTACTCTTGTAATAGCTCTGTAATAACAAACTAATAAAATCTAATTAGCCAAAGAAGTCGTCTTAATAACAAAAAAAAAATATTTGTTAACAAAACTCTATTAAATTCATAACTCTTTCCGATGATCACTAAAACCAAAATGGAGTAAACAGAAAAAAGACTACAAGTAATAACCTCAACTACCCAGCAAGAAAAAAATATTGAACAGCACGAGAGATAACGTCCTGAACTAGGCAGAGTGCAATCTTTGAACTGTTACGCTAGTTTTGTAAAAAGCTTACTGGAGCTTTGCTGCTGACCTTAGCAGGTCTTAGATTTTTCTTGGCCTACTGAATAACTTATAGAAATATTGTGGATAAACTCACTAAACTATTTGAACTGAGTCAAGTAGCAATACACTCCCTCTTCTGGCTTACGATTTTTGGTTCTACTTAGATAAACTCCCTATACCAAAGTTCTGCAGTTTTTTCATTTTTCCCTTTTTTCTGTTTTTCTTTTTTAAAAAATGGGAATTGGGTTTCCCTCTGTTAATGATGATCTTTGTTTATCCTTACTATTTTTGGATTATCATAGAGAAAGCAACCACATGACAAATTGGTCTGTTTAGATCTTTGTTGTACTACATGTAAGTAACTTTGTGCGTCTGGTCTTTGGAAAATACGGCTAAAATACAAGACAGATTAATCGAAAGATGGAGTTTGGTTAGAAATTATATGAGATATGCTATATTGCTATAATATAATATTTTTGTTCCTGGTCTAGGCTAAAGGGCAACTCTTTTTTTTTTTTTTTCTTTTTTCCTTGTTTTTTGGTTTTTCTTTTTTTTTTTTACTTCTACGTTAGTATTTTTTCCTGTGACAGGTTTTTACTTATATAGATGATAGTTATAAATTGTTGCTACTTAAATCTGTGTAATTTTTATTTTTAGTTCTTATTGTTATAGTTAGGTTTCTTTTTATTGTTTCTTTAAGGTAGACTTTTAGGAAAGATAATTAGGAACTTGCTATTGCAGTTAGAATGAGCTGTGAGTTCCACACCATTGATCTTTATTATCAAAACATTAGAATATGTGAGATAGTAAAGAGAAGAGAATACTCATTATAGCAAATCATTCATAGGTTTGTATAGAAACCAAGGAAGCTACACTTTAGAAAACAGAAAACACTACTGTGTATAGGATATAATTTTTAGTCCTTTGTTGGTTTTTGTATTACAAAAATTTTAATAAAGTTGTGGCCTGACTGCTGAATTTAAAAAAAAAAAAAAAAAAAAACTCTATTAAATTAATCAAAAAAATTATTTTTGAAAAAATTGTTAAATTCAGTAGTTTTTACTTTTGACTGCTTATATATATATTAGTTTTATATACTCAAATACGATTTTTGTAGTATACACAACTACTTTACTACAACATACACCACTACTATTCGTAATACCGCGAAATAGCGCCTAAGAGTATAGTTTCAAAATTAGGCTTAATTCTGGTTATAACTCAAAATAACGCCTATGCCCGCTATTTCGAGATTAACCGGGTTAATTATCGATTCTACCCAAATAGGGTTGTAATTTACGTAAGTTTCTGAAATCAAAAAATTACACGTAATAATGATGGATATCTTATCTGTTATTAATATTGGCAAAACCTTTTGTAATGCTAGTGCAATTATCATGTGACAATGCATTATTTTAACTGTTAATGTTACAGTTTCGTAATTTCATTGTAATGTAAAAAATGTAATTTTCGACCCTATGCCCAAACTATATTCCCGGCTCGAATTATGCAAACAATTCAGTAAATTTGGCCGAAGGTACTTTGTTACACTACTGCAGTCACGTGTAAAATGTTTCTGTAAAATATAATACGCGTCGTCATTATATTTTCTACCTTTCACACGATGCAACGGTCAGAAGTCAAACAAAAATCCATTAGTGATTTTTTCAGATCAAAAACTGTTGTTAGAGTAGAAAATTTATCAGAAGAAGAAGAAGAAGGAAAAGAAGAATCCGGGAGTAATATTATTAAAAGACAACGAAAACCAACATATCCTTTAATCCCGCGATTTAATTCAGAAAATAATAATGCTAAAACTCACTCATGTCCTGCTTCACCACCAAGAAAACGCGTCAAACAATCAGAACAAATGTTTCTAGATTTTGGACAAAAAAATTTCGATACTTACACTTGTCCAGAGTGCCAAATGCCTTATAGTAGGGGTACGGTCGAAGATGAGGCGATACATGCAAAATATCATAAGGCAGTTGTTAGAGGAATCACTTACACGGTTAATATACAATTTAAATTTATCCATCACATTTTTTTTTTTTTTTTTTTTTAATGTTGATAATAATGGTAATTTTTATAGAGTTATAAACATGAGATGATGTTGCAACAGTTTCCAGAAGATAATAGTCGTATAATGATGCTTGCATATAACCAATCAAATCAGTTTGAAAAACGAAAGGTTATTCATATAAAATGTTATCGTTATTACAACGAATATTATTAATAATACCAAATTTTATTATTAATAAATTATTTTAATAATTAGATACTTCAAATTCTTAATGTAATTGATACAGAATTGAATTCCATAGAATTAAGTGAACAAAGGTTAGATCAATGCAAGATCTATTTGTACGTTACTGACAAGAAAAAAGTTGAAGGGTGTGTGATAGCAGAACCAATTACTCGAGCTTATAAAGTTTCACGCGGTGACAATGAAATTAAACGTGATGAAAAAATGCAAGTCGGAACTTCAAATGATGGATCAGCAATTTTTTGTTTGTTAGTATTTTATATGAAATGAAATTTTGAAAAATCGCGTAGTAAATTATAAATTATTCAGACCCGTTGAATTTAACATTGGTTAGTACAAAGCCAATTGGAGCTGTGTGTGGAATAAACCGAGTATGGGTATCCAAGCCATATAGGAGAAAAGGTGTTGCAACAAAATTGTTAGACATTGTTAGGTACTTTATTACAGTATACTCTTTCAAAAAAATATAAAATAATATTTGAATATTTAAATGAAATATTTATTCTATATTACAGGGAAAAATTCGTGTATGGGTGTATTCTCAGACCTAATGATTTGGCGTTTTCACAACCAACTGGAGATGGTCAAGCCTTTGCCGCTAAATACACAGGCACTATAGAGTTTCTTGTATACGCTGAAGACTAAGTATATATGAATGGTATTCGTAAAATTTTCTATTTAAGATGTTTCGAATACATATTCTTTTTACAAAATAACCAATTTGTCAAATGGAATTTATTTATTTTAGGAATAATGTGAACTCGCATAATGATAAAATTATTAAGTCAAATTCGATGGATAACTAAAAGTGTCGATATCGACAAAGTTTTCTTTGATAGTGCGCATTGAAGTAAATCGATATAACTAATGAATGCAAGAATGTAATAGTTAATAATTTGTTATATTCCATATGTATAATAACATAAAAATGAAAAAAAAATTCAATTAAAAAATAATTACTAAGGCAGGACTTCCAGCTTTATCATTAGTACCCGAAGCACGTGAACCACCGAACGGTTGTTGACCGACAATAGCACCAGTAGATTTGTCATTAATGTAAAAGTTACCGGATGCATGTCTCAATTTGCTTTCGCCAAGTATAACAGCAGAACGATCATTGGCAAAGCTGTCAAATATATTGTAATATTAGTTATTTTTAATGTATGTGAAAATGTGTGAAATATGGGCAGATTTTGACATACATTGATCCAGTTAAAGCATAAGGAGATGTCTCATTAGCTAAATCGAGTATTTGCTCGTATTCGTCTGCCTTGTATCTAAAAAAAAAAAAAAAAAAAAAAAAAAAAAAAAGGTTTAATTTAAATGATAAATTTTAAGAATATATTAGAATACTTACACGTAGATTGTGAGAACAGGCCTGTAAAACAGTTAAATAACAATAATAATTATATTAAACAAGACTTATTTTAACCTTGAAAATAAATAAATATTAATAGATTACCCAAAGATTTCTTCACACATAGTTTTGCTTTTTGGATTTTTTGTGACAATCACAGTAGGATTCACAAAATAACCAGTTGAGTCATCATAAGTTCCACCAGCGATAATTTGACTATCTGCATCATTTTCTGCCCAATCAATATAACTTTTAATTTTCTCAAATGATGCAGCATGTCTGAAATAAAAACAAGTTAATTGTATGAGAATATAAATTTATCATTATGAGAATATCATTGAGAATATTATTATGAGAATATAATGAAATCTTACATGACTGGACCAACAAAGTTGCCGAATTCTAGTTGGATTTACGTGAAGCATGAAAAGTTAAAGCGTATCAAAAGTAAACGATAATATGATATCAAAGGTAAAATAGCATACCTTCCACAGAACCAACATTAATCTTTGAAAGTTCACTTAGCAAGTTTTCACGAAAACTATCCCATATAGAATCTGGAACGTAAGCACGTGAACAAGCAGAACATTTTTGACCTTGATATTCAAAAGCACCTCGAATAGTTTGATATACGGCATTTTTAACATTAGCGGATTTATGAATCACGTGGAAATTTTTACCACCAGTTTCACCAACAATTCTAGGATATGATTTGTAGATATCGATATTATTACCAATATCTTTCCATAACTTTTTAAAAACAAAAGTAGAGCCAGTAAAATGCAAAGAAGCAAAGTCAGGAGATTTCAAAATTTGATCAGAGATTTCTTGAGCAGGACCCGGGACAAATTGAATAACACCATCAGGAAGACCTGCTTCTCTCAAAATGTTCATAATAACCCAATTTGAAAGAGCAGCATTTGGAGAAGGTTTCCAAAGAATAACATTTCCCATTAAAGCAGGAGCACATGGAAGATTACCACCAATTGCAGTAAAGTTGAATGGAGAGATAGCATATACAAAACCTTCCAATGGACGATATTCTACACGATTCCAAACACCAGGAGCATTCTTTGGTGGTTGCTGTTGGTAGATTTCTTGAGCATATTTACAATTAAATCTCCAGAAATCTATCAATTCTGCAGCAGAGTCAATTTCTGCTTGCCTATTATAATAATAACATTAGGTTATATTTATATTTATAGTTATATTGAGAATTTAAATAAATAAATAAATAAATATATATACCAAACATTCTTGCCCTGTCCAAGCATTGTAGCAGCCAAAAGTTTATATCTATATTTACCAGCGGCCAAATCAGCGGCCTTTAAAAATATGGCAGTTCTATCACTAAATGGATAAGTTTCCCAAATAGGTTTAACAGCCAAAGCTCCTTTAATAGCTTTTTCTATAATTGATGAGTCAGCCTCATGATATTTAGCTAGAACTGTTTTATGATCTGAAGGAATTCTTTGTTCAACGGTTCGACCAGTGCGAATCTAATGTAAAAAAAATTTTTTTTTAAAAAATGTACGTGTGTGTGTACATGTACGTGTGCGTGTTTCGTGTGCGTGTGTATGTTCGTGTGACAAGGAAAAAAACCATACTTCCTCGCCATTCACGTAAACAGGAATTTCGATCGGAGCAGTAGTTCTAAACTCGTGTAAAGCAGCTTTAAGTTTAGCACGATCCTCACTACCCGGAGGATAATTTCTCTAATTAAAAAATATTATTTAAGTAAAAATTTATTTACTTCTATTTGATGTGAATTTTGAAAAAAAAATATATATATACCATAGGTTCATTGTGTATTTCAGGTACTTTAAAGGTACCGAGGATTGCAGTTGAAGATTGAGACATTATAGAAAATCTTCTTGCTTGAATAATTTGAAAAGAGAATAATAAACGACGCATATTTATGCATCTTTTTTAGAACGAACTTCGGACAAAATTTCTACTTTCATCAATATTTGATTTATATTTATACCTTAAATTACTGAATTAGAATGAAAAAAGATTTTTAATGTTTATGACCAAATTAGTCTCAGTTAACATTTAACGTTAATGTTAAACTTAAATTCTCCACTTTAGATTCACCCGAAACTTTAATCTCTAAACGAATAATAAATATTGTAACAGCCGTGAGAATTCTACATTCACGGGTAATTACAAATTTGGTTTATCATGTGATACATTCATTGGTATATTGTTCCTCTACTGCTAACAAGATAATATCGAGATGTAATATATTGTGACTGGTGATCCAGAATTTTACAACGGATTAGATTTGTATTTGGGTTATTTTTTTTTTTTTTTTTTTCACTACGCTCTCTGCAAATCTTTAAAAAGTTTTATATTTCCAAGGTATAGAGGTACAACAATTTGAAGTAAATTAAATATATTACTCGCAATATAAATGAAATTTTAACCTTTAATATCGCTTCATAGACTCTGGGGGATCTACAAGTCAGTATGAAATAATTTTTAATAATGTTGGATAAAAAGAAATGTTTTCGTAAACATATCATTACCTCTTACCGTAGATTTGATTTTTTTTTTTTTTTATTGTGGAGAAAGTCGCGATTAAGTAAATGCATTAATCTACTCATTACTTCTTTAGTATCATCATTATTATCATTACTTCATTAAGTGATCTAAACTAGGTAACGTACACAATATACGCATTAAAAAAAAAAAAAAACAACCCAACTTTGGTGAATGAAACTATAACGATAATTCTTGTAAATCATTTACCAGAATTGATTAATTCGTGATCCACATACCAATCAACGAGTGGATATAATAAAACTGGTTTCTAATGCTTTTTTAAATAAAACTTCTATTAAGTTGTGGAGGCAGTCTTTCCGGTTCTAAATTGCTAAAATTGGTTTGGTAGATTGCAATATATAAGCTTATAAATAAGAGATTAGCACTAGTTTTTATAGAAATAATTGGCAAATTCTTATATTCTTTTTTT